GTTTTGGGGGTCTTAGAAACTGTAGCCCCTACTGTTAGAATTTCTCCAGTGTATGCTTATTTGGAGAAATCACTGCTAATAAGAGTAGTGACACTAGATTCCCCAATCTTTTAATGCATGGGTTTTGGAGTGAGTACTCTCCATGGAAGGTCACTTGCATTCAAACACATTAACAGTTTTCCCAAGCTTTATTGAATATAGTATGAGTTTAATAATTCAAATCAGCTCCTCAACAGTTTTCCTAATGTGTTTATACCAGGATTATTCCATTATATATTACAAAGTTGTACACTGTTGGATAGTTAATGCAGTATATTTGGTTAAAACTGGACTTCATGAATTAATGTAAGGAGGCTCAGGAATCTCTAATTTAGTTAAAAAAAAGGATCTTTGATTTAAATGTTCTGTTACTTCTGCCTTTCTTTCTTCCTCTCAATGGCTGCTTCATGCTCTCCTTTGTGGTCCCTGATCTCAAGGCAACAGCTACTGTCTTTGCCATGGCTGGCTGCCTACCTAAAGAAATAGAAAAAAACAAGAATGACTCTAGTTTATTGTTGGCCAGGGGTATCTAATACTTCCTTCCAACTTCACCCCCAAACCTCTGTTTTGAGAGAAAGTTAGGACTTCCAAGGAACTGAGTCCCAGGTGAACCAGTCTCCAACTACCCCTTGTCACACACCTCAGGATCATGGATCAGAAATGAAGTAACCACCACAGCATGGGTGCACCACTCAAATTTCATTGAAGGCTACTTGTTCATAATATGGGTTTGCTAAGGAATTATGGTGGGGTACCAGGTTGCGCTCATTGGTCATGTGTTGGGCACTCCTCCTTGGCAGAGTTTTCAGACTGGCTAAGATATACTTATTCAGTCCAGAGAGGAAATATAAAGTGGAGCTGATGATCTATGCAGCTGGAAGGAAGTTTTCTGGCCTTCTCATATGTAGAGAACCAGATGAAAGGCTCAACAACTTACGGCTTCAAAACCTGAAGCTATGACTTCAGTGAGCCCTAGAAAGGTTCCTACAGCATGGATGGTCTTGTACCTAAGACAAAAAATAATCATTTGTTGCTAATGAACATACTTTCCCCAATTGCAAGTACCTGAAAATAGCAAGGATGGACACATGCTTCGTACTGTGCCCCCAGGAGAATTGAGTAGCATATGGCTTTAATACAGACGCCCTGTATAGGGTGGATAAGCAGAGATGGTCAAACCTGGTGCAAACTGAAATTCTGCAGATGGCACAAACAGTGTTTTCCATTTGAAAGCACTTCCTACTGATCTCTTAAGCCCAAGTGGTTTGACTTGTAAAAATAAAATAATTTCCCCAGTTGCAAGGACTCTTCTGCTATTTACTACAAAAGAACCTCTACTTCCAATCCTGGAAAAAAGAAAGCCTAGCAAAGTATAAACAGGTGACTATAGTATGAAACACATAACGTACCTCTCTTTTTTTCATTTAGATTTTTTTCTCTCTCTTTTTCTGCGTCCCTACCACACACTCTATTTTTCATTGTTGGTCTGATTTTTTTTCCCTGTGGATTTCTCCCTCTAGTACCCCGTTCTACCATAAATAGCTATGGGATTTGGGATCCTGGTCAAACTTGCACTTGGGCCAAAAGGATTTACCCAAGCCAAGTGCCCAAAGAGTCTTAAAGGCATCACTCATAACTTGCAGAATTTTTCTCCTTTTCATCTTAGCAGTCCTTCATGGGCCAATTTCTGCCCTTTTCACACTTGTGTCATCCTAGTAAGCTGCTGTCTCCCTGGATCTACATTGCTCTGGTGACAATGTATAGGTCCTTTCCCATGATTTAGCTCAATTTGCCTATTAGCCTTTCTAAGCACCTATCATATATCTGACTGCTGATGACACGCACTAAGGAATCATAGACTCATAGACTTATAGGGCTGGAGCGGGCCCTCTTGGGCCATCTAGGCCAATCCCCAACATAATTTGTTTTTATTGCACATGCACGCTTTTCAGACTATATAAAAAGGAAATAGTCTAAATAAGATTTGAGTAAAATAAAGGGTTTTATGGAGAAAAAAGGAAAATGTCCATGAAGATTTAAAAAGTTTTGTGGGGAGAGAACAGAAAATGTATTCCTTTTGATATATTGGTATTTTCTCCCCCTACCCTTGCCTATCTTTTTTAATGTTGAAAAATGAAACAAAAAGCCATGAGAAAGGCAAACAAGGTGGAGAGGGGACAGAAATCCCTTACAAAATTGTTTTTTCTTCATAAAACCAGAATTTTTTAAATGTAAAATTTCATTTTCATAATTTAGGGCATTTTAGCCCAAATGAACTGGGAGGGAAATGTCTGTTTGCCGTGGTCCCAAATAGTTTATTCACTCAGTTGCATAAAATTACCTGTGTTCTAGATGCACACAGTCTAAAAATGTGTACCTGCATCCACAGAAACCCTGCTGACTTATGCCTGGGACTATTTTGTCACTCCTCTTATGGCAGTTACAGCAATGGAAGTATATGGGATGGCCTAAAAAAGTCTGGACATAAGCCCTAATTTAAATTATGCCATTATTCATGACAATGTTGTACACCATTGGCTAGTTAATGCAGTCCATTAGGTTAAAACTGGACTTCATGAATGAATATAAGGAGCCTCAGGAATCTCTGATTCTGATTGGGAAGTACTTCCATTTGACAAACAGTCCCAGCTTCTTGAATAACTCTTGAATAGCATCATCCTTATTACTAATGCTAGTGAACAAGCAAGGAGAATCACGTTGGTTTTAAGCACTTGAAAGGTTCACAAGGGAAAATCAATTTCTGCTAACTAGAAAAGCAAAGAATTAATAAGGGAAGCCATTTTTCAAGTAGAGTACTGCACATGGACGTGTTGGGGGTGGAAAATAAATGAATGCTAGAATCTGATTTTTTTTTCAGAAGTGCCACATGTCTTCATTCTGGAGCGTCCAACCTGAGATTGATTATTTGGGACCTGATTTTCAAAGAGGGATCATTTTTCAGAAGGCCTCTCTCTAGGAGCGGTTTCAAAAGGCAACATCCTCAAAATCAGTAGTCCCTTTTGAAAATATGCCCCTAGTAAAAAGGAACCAGCTATCTCTTAAAATCGTCTCTTCCATTGTTATTAGCAAATTCAGCTGTTAAACAATGCCTAATTCTGCACCATAACGATAGAGAAAGTATACTGCACTGCACAATTCTGCTTTAAGATGGGATTTTTTAACAGCGATGCTGTCCAGGCCCATATTTACCTTTTCTTCATCACACAAAACAGATATGCTGTGCCTTATGGTCCAGGACAGACGTTACATAAACTGATGTGAGCCAAATCAGTTAAGTCTGATACTACATTCAACCAGGTTTCTCTCAAACCAGTTTCAGCCATTTTCACACTGGTTTACGTGCACTGAACATCTGTTCTGCTACAGGTTTAAACCAGTTTCTGATCACTTAACCCAGTTTATGACCCTAGCCTACAAGTAAACACTTGATTTTTTTCCCCCTCTCTCTTCTGGCACTAGACAAACAAGGAAGGATCTGAAACATCAGGTTGTATTCTAGTTAGTTCCTAAATCATCTCCAATTATAAATATGCTGTGCCCAGGATACATCTGCTAGTTATGTTCAAGGTGAAAGAAATTAATAATATCTCTAATAAGTCTAATAAGTGGTATTGACTGAAAGGTTCTAATAATAATAGAAAACAGTATGTTCTATCTGCGAAGTATTTATTCCTTACTTGTTATTTCATTTATAAATTGCACCGGCCATCTGCAACTAGATAAACAACCATAAGACGTCGCATGTATTCACACAAGGAGAAGCTTAAGCTTAAACATCCCGGACTGCAACAGAAAATAACTCCACCCCAAGTCAACTCCGTGTTGTGATAGCTGGAATAAATAGATGACCAATGTTTCAGTCCAGAGACCTGTGCTACATGCATGTGATCAGGCTGGGAAACAAACTGCAGGGAGGGTATTTTCATGGAAAGTGCTTTGTTGTTTGCACCTAGAGCTACAGATCAGAGCTATGGGTTGTTGGCAAGAGCACCACAGATGATCGTAAGCATCACAGATAACATATGAAGCTTGGAGAGGTGTAAAGGGCTGCTTAAAACCCTGAATATTGCCTTCAAAAAGAGAGGAAGACAACTACTATCTTCTAGGAAATAACTCATTAGCCCTCATTGGGAGACTTGAGAAGTAAAGATTATCAGAGGCAAAGCTGGAGCATTGCTTTGACTTGACCATGCAGGGTTGTCCAATTAATGCCAGGGTCTCCAGAGCAGCCCAACTCAGGAAAACATGAAGGTCATGCAAAAAGCAGATATTGCACTGTTGATATCACATAAGGCTATCTCCTTTGCATGAATGCTTTTCTGGGTGTAAGCCAACAGAGAAATGAGAAGATCCATCCCTGTGAGGGGCAGCTGTCATGCATAAAGTTTCGGAAAGAATTGTGGAGACAGCTGAACTGAGAAGCACATCAGTCAGTGTCTGTGAACATTTCCTTGTAATAACTCAGTTACGCAAAGTTGTGGAGAAATCCCTGCCTTTACCTTGAGACTGCTCAGACACAACAGACTCTGAGAATAATTTGTTTCCCTAATTACTGCTTCTTTGTAATTGTTATCCACAATACATAACATGGATTTCCATTCAGTAGATTCTTCTCTTACTCTTTGCACAGTTTCAGGCTGTGGAAAAGCCACATATATATTTTTGCTGCATAACACAAGTGCCCTGCAGCCAGCCAGGGTGTTCAGTTGTTAACGCATCTGTGAAGCAACACACCACAATTGTCAGTGCCATCCAGTGCCTTTAATTTATCTTTTTTTTTTTATTTTCTGCTTCATTCAACCAGCTGACTTGTGTGGAAATTGCATTCAGTCGTGTCTGCTTTCCATCTTTGTGCCATGATTCATGAAATGTGTTTGATGCTGACATACCTTGGCCTGTTCACAATACGCTGAAAAAAATGCTAATTTTGTCATATTTAGCAGCTGCGTTCAGAAATGCTACTGTAAGCCTAAGAGGGCTAACCAGCACTCTTGCAAGATGTCAGAACTATCCACCATTACCCTGTAAGTGTACGCACTCCTGTGACATTACCGTGTTTGTATGACGCATGTTGCACATAAGGGGGTTGTGTTAGCAGAGAGGCAGAATCTTGAGGGCCGCCTTGTGTTATTTCTTGTTGCATGTTGGCGTTGTGTTGTTGTTCTGTGCTTTTGCTGATGCATCACGATCAGGAATTTTTAAGATTAGTTGTTTGAAATGTATCCGTCTATTGACCAACACCACTGACTGTTTTGAATAGCAGAACAAAGGCCTGGTTCGAGACCTAAGGCCTGGTTCAAGACCAGCTGAAGTCATTGGGAGTCTTTTCAATGACTGGGGTGGATGTGGAAAGCGCCTATGGCATATGTAGAATGTCTGTATGCAAACTATGAACCAGTCTACCTATTTTTTTAAAGCAATAATTATGAAGCATTATGTAGCAAAGTGGTTAGGTCTCAGCACCTTAGGAAAAAAGGTCTGTATTTGAAAATTTAACATAACAATGTCAGGGTGGTCGGGCAGAGGGGGAATGAAGCAGACTCAGAGCTGGCCTAAATTAGCATAGCTGCATAAATATCAGTGGAACTAAGACAATGAATGCCCGTGATATGTTCATTCTATCTTTGCTTAAACCATATGCTGTGCTGACTGTCTTTCACTGCAAGTTCGCGGTTGAGTCTGTTGATCTGAATCCTGCACTGCCAAAAAAAGGCCCGCCGCACTGATCAGCAGTAAAACAGAGCCTTATGTTCCCCTTCTTAACATTTGCACACATTCTCCTTTGATTTCCAAGTTGCTCCAATTTAAGCCTGAAAATATAACTTTCTAACATTATCTCTTTTCTCAATGTGTTTACAAAAGAGAAAGGCAGGAATCTGCCCCAAAGAGTCAGTCAATGGACTGATTCAGAACAAGAGTGATCCAAATAAATAAATGCAGGGGGGACGGGAAGTGGTCAACAAGAAGAACTGGCTTAATACAAGGCAGGCTTGTGACCTGAGAACAAAACAGCTGTTTTGCCAACTCTCGTGTTTTTTGGCGTTGTTCTTAAAGTCTGCGCTTCAGGAATGTGAAAACTGTAGCTATAGTTATAGAGAAATATATAACTAGATATAAAAGAAAGAGCAACGTTTTTTTTTCACATGCCCAAAGCATAGACTTTAAGAACAACACCAGAAATCAGGAGAGTGGACGACACTGAAATAGAAACCTACATTACTCATCTCAAATCACTGCTTTGGGGGAGTTCACAATAGAGTGATGTGTAGTTCCCTTGTTGGCCTGCACAAGAATAAATTTTTCCTCGAGTTGTTGAAAGGTGGTAGATTGAAAGCCTTAAAAACTGAAGCCTCCTAGTGAATGGAAGAGAAGATCATCACAGACAGCAGCCCCCAAAAGGTTATCTTACCAGCATACCTCAGACTTTTTCTTGAGGCTTCCTGTCTAGGGTGGAAGACCAGTTTAGTAATGTTACGCTTTGCTTTGCACTTAAGCTATTATTTCAGGCAGAAAAGAAACTCTCTTGGAAAGCTTCTTCTGATGGTATGGGGTGTGGCCACACAACTAGATTGCTATGGAGTCCTTTATCCTCTGTGTTACTCCGTAGTAAAATTACTTTGTAGGGGGCCTGTCTGCATGTGCAATTAATGTGCAGCAATAAACTCTGCATATCACTCTGGGGTTTATTGTTCCAGGGTACCATGTTTATATATGTTCCCGGGACTGCAGCACATTGAACCTGGTTGGGGCTGCTCCAACCCGGATCAACATGCTGTGGAGGGGCTGGCTGGGGCATGACGGTGCTCCAGTGTAGGGCTAGCCAGCCGGTAGCCCCTGCGCTGAAGCACCCTCATACCCAGCCAGCCTCATCAGCATTTACATATGCGGTGCTGCGCACTAAAGAACTCCGCAGTAGGATAGTACTTGTAAATATGAGTACTATCCTATGGCAGAGTTAATTCATAGTTTCATAGTTTCTAGGGTCGGAAGGGACCTGAGCAGATCATCTAGTCCAACCCCCTGCCATGGCAGGAAAGAGTACTGGGGTCAAATGACCCCAGCAAGATGTTCATCTAACCTCCTCTTAAAAACCCCCAGGGTAGGAGCCTGCACCACCTCTCTTGGAAGTTGGTTCCAGACCCTAGCCGCCCTGACCGTAAAATAGCACCTCCTGATGTCCAACCTAAACCTACCCTCTGGCAGCTTGTGACCGTTATTCCTGGTCACTCCTGGCAGTGCTCAGGGGAACAGTGACTCCCCCAATGCCTGCTGATCCCCCCTGACTAGTTTATAACAGGCCACAAGATCCCCCCTCAGCCTTCTCTTTTGAA